GGTGATGCATAAGGTAATTAAGTCTATAAACGCAAAACCTGCGTAGTGACCTCGTCGACGTGTTTCGCAGTAGGGAGCATTAGGCAAGACTAATCTTTCATGCTTAGAGTAATTGAGAATGCGGATGCTATACGCTTGCACGTAATTAATGCATCTGTGTTGCAATTATTAGGGCGTGTGTGAGTGCCACCTGAAGAGCTTTGAAGGAATGCCAAGCAAAAGCCCTAAAACCTTCACATATTCTCCCACGACCAATCAGAAATGTAGTGAAGAGCCAGGAAAGCAATGGTGGAACGTAATACCATAAGTTGAGCATGGGACACAAATGGAGTAGTTTTATCTAAACATCAAGAATTGGCTTGCTCAAAGTGGAAAAGGAATGCCACCCATGAGAAGACTTGTCCGCATTATCCGTTGGGGTGAATGGGATGAAAACAGCTTGCTAGATGCTTGCACACGCGCCCCGATGTGACAATTTGCCCAAAGTCAAAACTAAGTGCCCACGCAAAAATGTTGGAATGCGATCGGACCTACCAAAATGAAGCTGGAAATTGCAAACAAAACAGCGCTTTCAGGGAGATTGTCGTAGGAGGAGAAAAATACATGTCACTAGGCAAATCACAAAGCTGCAACAAACAATTTAACCGAGCACAAAGGGTCGAAGCTATTCACAAGCATAAAATACTCCAGCAAAATTTGTTTCTAAAGGCAAAGTACTAAACAAAGTCTTATTATGTATGAACATGAACAACCGGTTAACTGATTACTATTTGCACTGATTTCATCAGCAGAAGTAGCAAATAAGGTGCAAGAGAATAGTGTCACACACATACAATGCGTTCTCAAATAATAAATGTAAGAAAATAAGGCAATGAAAAAATAGAATGAATGAATGATGATTTGGACGTAAATACGTTAAGAATTAAGACAGTTAAAGCTATTCTCGAAGAAACAATATACAGAACGAAAAGTACCCCTAATAGCAGCTCTTTAGTGCCAACGCGTCTGACCACAAGTTGTTGACAGTCTTAAAGGTGGCCGAAATCAAGTTTCAAAGTAATAAAAAACTTTCACTTTATGCGTTCTCACAAATGGCAATTCTGCTTTCTACTGCAAATAAAAGAACGTCTCGCAGTGCTTCGTGATAGC